CATCCGATCTGGGGGAAGGTCGTCTGTAAACGTTTTTTGTCTTTAGATTTCACCCTGGTATACACAGATAGAATGGACGGATACGTAACTAATATACCAGGTTCGGCACGATCGGAGTATAGGCTATCGGATATTTTACCGACGGTGCGCAATTACGCACATGTATATGTGTGTGTCTTGCTCTGCTTGGGCGTGTATATCAAGTTGGTCTGACAAGGGCAAGCCACTCGTCCAAGTAATTAGTTGGTTGGTTCGTTGGTTGGTTGGTTGGTTTGGTTGCAGGTTCTTCGCAATGCCAAGTTGACGTCCTTGAAGATTCGCCTGGCCATGCACGACTTCCCGTTTGGCTCGGCCATGGAGTGGTCCGGTATACCGAATAACCTGAAGAGCTGGTACAACAACACCGCCAAGAAACACTTCAATGCGCTAGTGCCGGAATGGTCGTTGAAATGGCCGGTGAGAACGCTTCCGTACATGTACGTGGCCGTAAAGTTGTACGTGCCCTTAAGTAAATCCTACCCCTGCATACGTTCCGATCACCCCCCCCCCACACACACACATTTTATATTGTTCGATTGCTTCTTTGCTTGATTGTGCGCTGTACAATACCCCGAGGTTTCGTCTCAAGTAATGTTTGACTTAGTATTAGATAGCCAGTTCTTGACCTGAGTAATTATTATTCCGCACAAAAACTCGATGACTTCATGTATTTCGTGTTGACGTACGTCGTATTTGCGTGCAGTCGTATGAACCGAGCAGAGGAGTTTATAACAGCAGCTTCAATTACATCAACAAAAACCACATCGATTTTGCCACGTCCAACGATTTTGTCCTGGCACGAGGCCACACACTGGAGTGGTGAGTATAAAACATGAAGGCCGCGAGCACGCGTATTGCTGCAAGTTGCGGTGGGTGCACTGGCTTGGCTCGCTATTGGTAGCATGGCTAGCTAGTGGGCGCAGCTCGCAGGAGCACTTTGCCCTAGTCATGCAAAGTACTATCTGAAAACAATGCAGTACAAGTACTATCTAATAACAATGCAGTACAAGTACAGTACAAGTACTACTCCGTAAAGCTGCAGATTCCACACGCCCGCCGTCTTTTCGTTCCCTTCGTAGACATGTATGTAGGCATGTGTGTATGTGTGTGTGAAATGATGGGCCGTTGTCACCGCCGGCATCCTGGCCAAGGCTGCCTCCCCACCCTGCCGCTGTCTGAATTGCCGTACATACCGCAGGTACATCTCATCCTGGGGCTTCGCAACTCACTGGTCACGACAGGTGCGAGACCTCCCTCTCCCTCTCCCTCTCCCTCTTTAAATACACACCATCTCTCTCTCTCTCTCTCTCTCTCTCTCTCTCTCTCTCTCTCTCTCTCTCTCTCTCTCTCTCTCTCTCTCTCTCTCTCTCTCTCTCTCCCCCCCGCGCTCCATCCATCCCCTTGAATTTTATGTATGCTGACTTGCTTCATAACATAATATGTGTACTTTGATCCTGCTGTACTGCACGCACCGCCGTGATTTATTTCCTAATTAGGCGCCGCCTGATGACGTGTCATCATGTGCCCGGGGGCTCCCATGGCCGCTGCTGAGCGCCATCTCCGCAGTCAATTTTTACATGTGCATGTGTGCAATGTGCTGCTGTTTGCGCGCTGCTCATATACATTTAAATTTGCTCTTCAGGATGGTTGTGACAACTACCGAACTTACCTGCAGACCAGGATTACTCGCGAGGTCACTGCCTTCAGGTGTGTTATACCTGATGTAGAAGTAGTGAACATATCCTGCTAAAGTAGTGGACTACTCTGTCCAGCAAATATGCTTACTACTTTACTTGTACTTGTAGTAGTGGACATGTTTTCCGAGCTTCTTCCCTTTATCAGGCCGTCATTGTCGTCCGTTTATTCCTAGCCCAACTAACTCCCAACTTCCAACTCCCAACTCCCAACTCCTCCTAGCCTTCGTCCCGTCGATGTCCTGAACGACCCAAATCTCATCCCTAATCGATTCGGTTCATTCCAGGGGTAAGTTTCAGCATTACGACGTCTTCAACGAGGTGATCCACGAGCTTGATTTCGTGAAGGACTGCCCCGGAATGTGGCCCGGGATTCTGTACGACGGATTCCGCTGGGCCGCCGCCGCCGACCCCACAGCGCAGTTGTGCCTCAACGACTATGGCCTCATCACTGAAGACGACTGGCGCGCGTTTGTGCAGCTCGTGCGCGATATGAAGTCGCAGGGGGTGCCGATTCATTGCATCGGTGTGCAGGTGCGTGTGGGTGTGTGGGGGGGGGTGGGAGGGGGGGAGGGGGGAGGGGGGTTTGCATGTGTGTTCTCATGACCGAAGCCGCGAGGGGGTGTGTACACTTGTGTGGATGTGTGCGTGTGTGCACGTGCACGTGTTTCCGTCTGTGTATGCGCTCGTACGTGAGTGCTTGCGGACGACTGATGTAAGGGCAGGGTGGCTAAGTAGCTGGCGAGCATGCTACATTGCTGCGTACGGACACGCAACTGTTGTCGTACACCGAGTCTAGAGCTGGTTGCCATGTGTATGTTTTGGATTTTGCTTTCGCGTGGTATGTGCGTGCTGGTAAGCGCGATACACAATCACCGCTGGCCATCCATCATACCATCCGCTTCGTGTATGCCGTACATGCCATGCAGGCAAAAGTCCGTCTGTGCACGCATGCGCATGTGCACATCCGTACGCATCTGTACACATCCGTACGCGTCCATGTGCATGGACCATTAACAATACATGAGAGAGAATGCGAGCAAAAAGGCCTTCGGTGTGTGAATGCTACCCCGTGTGCATGTAGACGTGATATGTATGGATACAGGCATGTATGTGTACATGAATTACACACACACACACACACACACACACACACACACACACACACACACACACAAATCATGTGTATGTGGATTACAAGATACAAACGTTTGCGATGTGTGTGTGTGTGTGTGTTATTTACAATGCAGGCTTACTTGACAACTCAGAATCTCCGTACACCTGTCTACATGAAACCACGTCTGGACGCGCTCGCCGCGCTCAACCTGACCATGCTCATCACAGAGTACAACTTCTGGTCCTACTGGGCCAACGACACACCCATCTGGAGCGGTACGGAGGCTGAGCATGCCGCGCTGCACAACGAGTACGTGCGCTTCTGGTTCAGCGTGCCGTACATCAAGGGCATCTTGATGTGGTGAGTTGCTTCGTCCATGGTTTTTTGCCTCTACGTGCTGCTAATAGATCAAATCAAAAGCTGATAGGTACATGTAAAGCTTCTGTAAAGCTTCTGTGCCAGTGTGTGTGTTCCAAAACGGTGTGCAAAACACACGAATTCCGTATGTCTACCCACCCACCCACCCACCCACCCACTCACTCACCTATACCTGACTTTGGCCCAATCCTTCAAACCATTACATCACCCAGGGGCTTCTGGGACACGGGCAATTGGATATTAAACGGCGGAATCTACTATCCCAACACGACTGCCAAAGCCTCGGCTCGGACTCTCGCCACACTGTGGGGTACGACGTGGAATACAACGTTAGATCGTACCAATGTCGTACTACCCAGTACGGGCGTGTTCGGGCCGTACAACGGTTTTTACGGCAAATATTATTATGAGGCGACGATTGGGAAGAACAAGTTCACTGGCTTTGTGCGCTTCCCTGCCTCGGCTGGAAACAGCCAGACGGCCACAATTGCCCTTTAACTTGCCAGCATCGTGAGCTGCTGCTGTTGTCCGTATCGTGATTTGCTTTTCAGTAGCGTATCACACAATCGCTGCCAACCGTGATATCGCTGCCAAGCGCGATATCGCTGCCAAGCGTGATATCGCTGCCAAGCGTGGTTTATTAGCATGCCGTGAAACAGTACGACAGTGTGTTATGTCGCGAGTACGGGTAACGAACCTTGAGGCCCACTTTTCTTTCATATGCGTGTCTTCAAGCGAGCGCGCGTGTGTGTATGTGTGTGTGTGTGCGCGTGTGTGTATTTGTGTGTGTGCGTGCATATGTGTGTGTTTGTGTGTGTGCATATGTGTGCATGTGCGAAGGGTACACTGACCGGGCCTGACACTGGCTAGGGCCGGCATGTGTGTGTGTATGTGTGTGTGTGTGTGCGTTTGCATGTGTGTGCGCAAGGTTCTAGATCCTAGGCTGGACAGCAGCAGTCATGTACATTATTATGCATGGCTATGTGTACGTATGTACATGTGTGCACGCATACACATGGACATGTGTGCTGTTAAGGTTAATTTTCGTGAGCGCGTGGCTCGTTGTTGGTTGGACATATCTACGTGGAAAAAAGACGTGCACCTGCGCTGCGATATCGATCGAGCAAGATGCCGTATAGATGATACGTACTTGCTTTAGCAGCTAGTCAGTATCCACTTAGGTAGGTGAAAGTTTTTCCCTCGAGTCAGGTGAATGCGGCGGTAGATAATACGTACTGATAGTTGCTTGAAGGGAGCACCGCATACGTCGCAGATGTGTATGCTTGTATGTATGTATGTTAATATATTTTGGGGTATATGTTTGCAAGTTTTAGGAATTCAGATTTTTTAGCTTAGGACAGAACATCATTTGCGGCAAAACGCAATGCCATTATTATGACCTGTTTTTTTAGGGTTAGGGTTTATGCGATGGGGTCTGTCGTCGCTTGTTTATAACAAGTACAGCTTACAGATCGTCTACAAAAATGCGCTAAGGCGCTCCGCTAGCATCGCCATAGGCCTTTTCAGCGGCCAGCTACTGCAGGAGACTCTAGGGCACGTAGGATGCCTGGAATAATATATCGGTCGGATGGATTGATGCTGCGTGTGATGCTCGGTTAACTATATTATCCATCCGCATGTATGTGGGTATATGTCTTGATGTTCGGCGTACATGCACGCCGTACGGTAACTCGCTGTTAACCCGGTGCTAACCACGCGCGCAAACAGCGTGTCCTCTTTCCATGCGACCACTCCATCTAGCTAGCTGTATTGATGACGCATCTATGACATACATACATACAAGGTGGCCGCTGGTGAAGCTTAACCACCCTGTAACGACATACATACATACAGAGGCAGCCCAAAACGCAAGCGCTCGCGTGTGTGCCCCACAAAGACGTGCGTTACGTACGGTGCTGTTATGTACGCTCATCATTGATAAAATAAGGATCCCAACGAGCATGCACATATATACTACTAGGGTTAGGCACTACTGGTAACGCGCGACCATTGCCCCCGGGAGATCCCGGGATTGAGACCTGTCAGGGTCGAAAATCCTACCGATGGTGGAAGGTATTGCGCCCCTAGTTGATGGACGGTGGTGACCTGTGATAAAGTTAACCTGCGAGCCGACCAGGAATGGAGTTGGGCCGCTGTCGACCCGGCAGATTCCTGGCAGATGCTGGTGGTGGGTGCGGAACCTGAGCGATCCACTGAGAAGTTAGCTAGGGTGACTGGATGAGGGTGCCGCGAAATACCCGGGGGGAAGGCAGGGTTTCGCCGGGTAGCGGCCAGGGGTGAAGATATAACCCCCCTGTCCCACACATCATACATACATACATACAGCCCTGCCCGCACACACCGCAGCAGTCCATGCATGTATGTGCAACGCACCTCTCCTTATGCTAGCTGCGTCAGTATCGGTCCCTACCTAATACACGGGGGTGTCGCCTATAGGTGATCAAAAATTTTATTGAGGCAAACTGGTATAAAATGCCTTCCTGAACAAAATCCTGAGCCTCCATTCGGTCAATTATGCGAAAAATGGCGAAGGGATACGTATATGTTGTCGAGGAAGCGCGAATGCAAGGTTTGGGGCAGCTTTAACGCACAACGGCTAATAAAGTCTCGATACCAGTATACTACAGAGCGGTTACAATAGTGCCACCAGTGCGGTTGCGTACACTGTGAGCCCTGTGAGCATATTCCTTTTTTCAATAGTCGGAGGGAGCATTTAAGTGAGGGTTTCCCGTTGTTTCTTGATCCCAGCCACCGCTGAAGGGCACGACTACCCCGTAACTGCTAACCGCAATCGCTGAGTTCGCTTGCAGGTTAGCGTTACATTCGTAAAAACAAGAATTTGCGTCATCATATGTTTTCTTTAATAATTATAAAGGTTTCATCAAGCATCCAGTGTTAGGTTATCATGGTGAACTCGGCAGGTCCACGGGTCTAGGGGGTTGTTTCAACTTGGCATTAACGTCACGAATTAACTATCTTTAATCCGCACCAATCCGGCCCTGATCCACGGGAGTGTTCCATAGGTCTGGAATAAAGGAACGGATTAAGTACAACGACTTCAGTGTCCTTGCATGATTTACAAAAACGAGTAGTTTATAATATACTGCTGGATATTTAAAACTACTGAGAATCAACATAAAGGGCAAAGACCGCAGTAAGCAGTTATTGGCGGCCTTTGCCGATTGCGTTGCTACGGCCTGCCTGATTCACTAAGCCATCGCCACTATCGTCACTGGAGTTACTGCTGATACATAGGGGACGAAAAAGTTGATGGCAATGCAGTTCGCCGCCTGTGCCGTCCATGGCAACCTACACCGGCTTCGCCTTGCCACACACCCCATTACGTCCAGCTACGGCCCTTATAGTGTTGGGCGGAATTCATGTGCAGATATGGCCCGATGAGCTGTATGTGCAGCACTTTCGCGCCACACGCTCGTCTTTCAAACTGTTGCTGATGCAGTTGGGTCGGGGTTCGCGCCAAGGCTCCGCAAGCCTGTTGAGCCTTCACGGAAGCTGGCGATAGGCCTCTAAAAACTTGCAAAACGGGTAGATTTCCGCAGTATGGAGAGCCTGTTTTTGGTGTCGCTCCCACAACCTCATGCCGTGCCGTTCGGCGGTTTCCCGAGGTGGTCGTGAAACACCTGGGTGGGTTAGTGAAGTTCCTAACGCCTGCACGATTTAAGTCCGTCTCAGAGGAGTTCGCTGCTCCCGGGATGACTGGCTGTGTGGGAAGCATTGACGGCAATCACGTTGCATGCAACAAGCCCCGAACCGAGTACTAGGAGGACTTCTTTTGAGTAAACCTTAGGATGGCTACACCTTACATACACAGGCCGTGTGCGACTACTACTGGTGTTTTTATGATGTTTGCGCGGGCTGGCCGGGCAGTGTGCACGATTCCCGGTTGCTGTCATCGAGTTCTCGTTTTTGGCACGCGGGGAGGTCGGGGTGTTCAGTTATTTAGGCGCAATCATGGTGGATGGGAGCCCATATGCTGCGGAACCCGCATAGAAGCGCAGATCGCCATCAGGGTGTTCCTGAAGGTTTTCACGGCCCTGGTGGCCCCCAGGCTGAAGGTGATTCTTGTTCGGTAGACCCAGGACCTCGTGCGTGTTTAACCCAGGCTTGTGCTCGCGCAATTGCCTTGCAGCATGTGTCAATATCACGGTGCCCTTGGTTCCGCGTCACGGTATGGTGCATATTACCGCGGAACAAGAAGCGCAAAGCTTCCACAAAACTAGGAACACCTACATGATTTTTAAGAGGGAACCTTTCAAGCTATCAAGTTCGGGGATTCAAGAAGACGCTGCATAACGACGGTAGTCCGCAATTGTCAAGTTGACACTCGGTGGCCACCCGCATTTCTGACAAGTATGACCAAATGGATCCGAACAAAGTTAAAAACAGCCACGATAAGTCTTGCGGCTGCCTGCGCAAATGAGTCAGCAGTCGTGCGGGAAAATGTACTTTCGCCAAGTTTAGCAGTTACAAGTGCGCACAGGCAAGTTTTATCAGGAATTGCTTATTTTGTGCATAGGTGAATATTCCTACCTTGCCACACAGGTCTTCCGGAATCGGCCTTGTCTTCCCGGGCTTGTTCTTCGTGCACCTAGTTCCCGGTCAGTCCTCATAACCGTGTTACCAATCCGTTTTCATGTAGTTAACCATTGGATATCCATTACAAGTTTGATCCCTATTCACAGTCGTTTAGCCGTTCACCATGATTGTCAAGTAACTGGCCCGGACGTAAACCACATGCCGAAACTTGTCACATTATAGATATAACGGTTAGCCGTATATCGTTTTACCGCTACAGTGAAGACTGAGCTTGTAGTCGCGAGCCGCGGCTTTGAGGAACGATTACAGGTAAGGATGTGTACTGACCGGTTTACAGAAATCCATATATGATAGGGATTGCCGATGTTTTTGTGGACAGCCTATCCCAAACATCTCCCCCTCAGTCCTCTGCGGCTCACCATGCTGCCCGTCGCTGGGAAAACACGCTTCCCTGCTTTCTCCTGTGCCGGCGTCCCCTACACATGTCCGCCTAACATCCCTGCCATAAGGTTGAGGCTTGCATTCATCGAAGCACCCGGTGTGGCCCTTGCCGCGCATCATGCGCCGACACCCCATGCATCCCCCAATCCCTAGGAGCTCTTCCCTCCACTGATCCCCAACCTTCCGAATCAAAACCAACCCTCCTGGTGACGCCTCCTGGTGACAATATCCGATTTACAGATCAGGTCCAGCGCTGGCACGAAATCCAATTTCCGCTCTCAATTGGTAGCTTTCCGCTGCGCATGAGGACCGATTCCCACTGCAGCATACCACGCCGCACGCGGCGCCTGTCAACTGCCACAACCTCACCGCAGCGGCCGTACAACGAAGCAAGATCAGGATGGCTGCGGCGCAATCCATGAAGCAACAACCACAACAGCAGCAACAGCAGCAGCCCAGGGTATTGTATCGGCGGCCGACTTCGGTGGGGGTTCCCGGTGCCCCGGATGAATGGTGAGGGAGGGAGGGAGGGGTGGAGGGAGGGAGGGAGGGGGGTTTGGGGACTGTTGGCGGGTAAATTTGGAGGCAGAATGGCTCTGATCTCTAGCGCCAGCAGTCATGGGCTCTTTTAGATGAAGCGAAATTGTGTGTGTGTGTGTGTGTTTCGCCACGGCCCATGGCCCTCAAACTCCACACGGGCAGTCACGCGCGAACTCTGCTCCACCCGCCCCTCAACCTGCCTCGCTTGGCTTCCGTCCTTCAGGACTGTACGACTTGATATGCAGGAAACGTTGTTATGAGCCACACCCTGTAATGTATGCTGTCTATGATTGAAATGTTGCACTATAACTACTCTTTGGTAGCCCGCTGTCGCAGCAAAAAATGCGCTTATTGTGTCATACGGTTGTACAACAGGGCTGCGGATGAGGTAGGCGGCTCCGTCACCACACCAAGGGTCTCATCCGCGCCAAGTCCCACCACCCGGCCTCAGCGATCCGTATCGCAACACGTGGTGTGGGCCAAGGACGCCGGGACACCGTTGGCAAGGCCCGCACCCAGGCCAATGTCCGCAGGATCCGCCGCTGCAGCGGCAGCGGCGGCTGCCGCCGCCGCCGCCGCCGACGGCGGCGGCTCTACCGCCGTCGCAGCCGCCTCCGGCGGCAGCGGCGGCGGCATCCGCGTTTTTGGCGGCTCCCCTAGCCTCAACGCCGCCGCCGCTGCGCTGGCAGAGCGTCAAAATACCGCCGTGGACGCGGCGGCCGTGGCTAGACCACCGCAATGCAGGTGCTGCGGTCGTGACGGCGGCGGCGGCGCTGGCGGCGTGTCGCCCAGCAGCATCGGCGGTAACCGTAAGGACGTGGAGGGGTTGTCGGAGGAGGTCTGGAAGCTCCGCGCAGATCTGGTGGCGAGTCAGGAGCAAAACGTGAGTGAGATAGAACGAGTGAACGGGTCGGAGGGGTTGTTGGGATCGCGCGCTCACACACACACATACACACACATTTCCCTTCGTCCCCTCCCCTCTCTTCCTCTCCCTCTCGCTCCCCCTCACACACAGACACATATCCTCTCCTCCCTTTCTTCACCCCCTCACTCTCCCCCCTCTCCCCCCTCCCCCCACCCACACACACGCGGCCCCCCCTTGGGGAACCCCGAATGCGCCCACAGCGTTTACTCAGGACGGAGCGACAGCGGCTGGAAGAGGAGCTCAGTCGTTGCCGTACAAGTCTGATTAAGGCCGAGGAGGTGCTCAACACCCGGGAACGTACCCTTAGTCCGAACAGGTATGCCCGTGTATGTATGTATGTACGTATGTATGTATGTGTGAGACAGGGGGGTTATATCTTCACCCGTGGCCGCTACCCGGCGAAACCCTGCCTTCCCCGCGGGTATTTCGGGGCACCCTCGTCCAGTCACCCTAGTCAACTTCTCAGTGGATCGCTCAGGTTCAGCACCCACCACCGGCATGTATGTATGCATGCATGCATGTATATATGTTAATCGCACTGTCCTTTTTCTCTCACCTGTCCCTTTTCCAGCAAATCCAGCACCACCTACCCACTCTCGACGCTGTAAAAACCTATAGGCTCTATTAGCTAGCCCCAAATGGCGCATTACCTAACATTACCGGTCCTTGCTTACTCTTGTGTGCACCACCTGCTATCGCCGGTCCTCGCCTGGTGCTGGCCGCCAAAGCCGCATGACCAAGATGTACCGCACCCCCACCACCACCAGCCTGGTGGGCAAGCTGAAGGAGCAGCTGGCGGCTCACCAGGCCCAGGCGGAGTCTCTGAAGTCGCAACTGGACCAGATCATGCGGGGGACCCGGTGGGTTGTGGAGATAAGGGGTTGCGGAGATAAGGGGTTGTAGGGGGTTTACTTTCCTGATAGGTTTTAGGGTTTTGTTTCAGATGTGTTGGTGGTTGTGAATGGAGAGAGGACGGCGCCAGCAATCGGCCAGAGAAGCCAGAGGAGAAGAGAAATAGAGGGGGAAAGAGGGGGAGGGAGAGGGGGGGGAAAGAGGGGAAGAGAGAGAGAGAGAGATTGGGAGAGATGGAAACAGGGAAAGGAGGTTGTGTCCGGAAAAGTCAAATGAACCGATTTTTCTGTTTCTTAACATCAATCCTCTTCTCCCCTTCATCTCCCCTCCCTCTCCCCCTTTCCTGCCACCCTTACCGTCCCCGCCCTCACACCTGGCCGCGGGTGTATTCAATTCCCAGGGCCACCCGGGTTTCGGAGCTACAGGCGGAGGTTCGCGCCCAGGAGTGTGAGCTGGGTCGGCAGGCGGAGTTGCTCCGAGTCATGAGGAAGAGGATGGAGGACGCGGAGGCGCGGACGGCAGAGGCACTGAACAGAGTGAGTGTCTGTGTATCTGTTTGTCTGTCTATCTGCCGGGAATCTGCCGGGTCGACAGCGGCCCAACTCCATTCCTGGTCGGCTCGCGGGTTAACTTTATCCCAGGTCACCATCGTCCATCAACTAGGGGCGCAATACCTTCCACCATCGGAAGGACTTTTGACCCTAACGGGTATCGATCCCGGGATCTCCCGGGGGCAATGGTCGCGCCTTACCAGTAGTGCCAAACCCTTGTATGCATGTGTCGGGATGTGTTTGTGGGGCGGGGAAATGGGGCGGGGAAAGAGGTTTACAATCTGTTACCTGGTACTTTTCTCTCTCCCTGCATGCAGTGCGACACCATGGAGCGACTAGCCAGGATGCAGGGGCCCCTGGCTGCCCTTCAACAAGCAGTATCAGATAGCGAAAACCAGCTCAAGGGAGGAGTGGGTGGGGGAGGTGGAGATGGTTGGGGGAATGGAGGCGGAGGTGAAGGGGTTGACCTTCCGGACAGCAGCAGCAACAACAACAACAGGGGGGCCTCACCTGCAGCGGCCACGGCCACGGACTCCGCCACGGCCGCCGCCGCCACCGGTGAAGCAGCAGCAGCAGGAGGAGGAGCAGGCGGCGCTGCAGGCTGCCCTGGGGCCAATCCTAGGGGTGCGGGGATATCGGGGGGCGGAAAGGGTACGGCAGCGGAGGCGACGGGAAACAGCAGCAGCGGCGGAGGCAGAGGCGGAACGGAGGGCAGCTCCGCCGTGGCGGCGGTGGCGGCGGCGGTGGCGGCCCGTATGCTGCCGTCGCCGTCATCCCCCTCTTCCTCTTCTTCTCTAACTGCCGCACTGACGGGGGGTCAGACGCTGTCCTCCAGTCGGGTGAAGAAGACCATGGCTGCAATGGCGGAGGCACACCGGGCACTACTTAGCCAGGTATGTGTGTATGTGTACCTGGGGGGGGGGGAAATAATACGAAAACCACTGACGAGTGGTGACGTAGACAGTTACACGGATGGTACTGGGTGGGTGCCCGGTGGGGGGCTTTGGTGTTGGGCCTGGCGATAGGTCGCGTGTGATGGCGCTACTTAGCCAGGTGGGTTGGGGGCTGGCGTGGGGTGGGTTGGGGGGAAATGTAACACCAAGCATCTGATAACGACTACTCCCTCCCCTCCCCCGTCCCCACCGCTTCCCCCTCCCCTCCCCACCCATCCACGTCTGGTACACTCTTGCCCTGGCAGCAGCTTCACTCGTTTGTGGTGCGTCTATCCCCTCCCCACCAC